CTGTGGCCTGAGTGAAGATGTGTGGGTCCTATGCCATAGGGCATGGACTCCTTAATGCAAGAAAGGTGCAGCTGGAAATGAGATTCAAGAGAAAGAAAGAATATATTTGGAATAAAAGTAGGAAGAATAAAGCCTAGTACAGCAATAATCTCATTGCCTTGATCCAAATCCAAGAGAAAAAATATATTTGGAATAAAAGTAGAAAGAGTAATCCAAATCTGAACAACTATAAAATTTCAGCTAATGACAACTATTACTGTATCTCTGCATTCTTTGTATGGAGTCAGTATAATTTCCATCCAGGAGTTACTTGCCTCACTGAAATGCTTATAGTTCCACATTTGATTAATTATTAAATGGTGTTTCAGTGGGTTTTCCTTGTTTCAAAATACTTTGTTTTACAAAATATGTTTACTATGTATTTATAACACAGCTAAAGTGATGCCAATTATTTAGTCTTTTCAACACCACATACCTAGGTACTTGACCACACATATTCACACTGTTTTGATATAGAAATGCATTTATATAGCAGGGATTTAGAAGGCTGGAGTAAATGCTATCATTGTACCTTTGGATCACTCTCCATGAGTAGAAGGTGGAATGGATAGCCTTTATTCATGAAGGATGTAGACTTTCCACTATAGATGGTTGCCTCCTCCATGTGGGAAAAGGGGCCTCAATATTTGTTTTCCTTTTCTCATGGATGTGAATAGAGAGCTGTCTCTTTCACACCTAGAAATGATTGTTTATGGGCCATTAAGTCAGTATCAACTGTTAGCATCCACATAGTTTTTCTCCAGGATGAAGAGAGGCTTATAAGGAACATTAATAAGTTTTACCAGTAAAACTGGTTTCATTTTTTTTTTTTTTGGTATGGCCAAAGGAAATGCCACTAATAATAATAAATATCAAAGCCAATTTATGTTAATATTTCCCCTTCCATTATAATAAATAATATTTACTGATGAATGCTGCATGTCAGGTTGATACGTATCTTAAACAATTTTTATAACACGGTAATGTTAAATGTACTATCTTTTGGCCAATAAATATGTTACAATTTAACCAATAATAGGGAGCATGTCCTGAATAAATGTGTGTAACTTTCAAAAGCAGCTATTATATAGTAGTGGTTTTTCCATGATGCACTCCTTCAGAAATGGGATCTCTGTGAATAGTTCATTATGTGTAGGTTTCCTACACAATTTGTACCCCTTTGGAGGGAGGGGACAGATTCCCTGAGAGAGATCCATGTCATCAGCTCTGCTCACATGTCATATCATTCAGACATAGGCTGGCTTGGCTTGGAGGCTATCACAGTGCTGAAGCACTATATAATGACGACATATTTTCATATGCCATTGTCACAGTTGTAACAAATGCAGAGATGTTGATAACCATTTTAAGACATACCAAATTTCACATTGATTTTTTTCACCCTAATTATTCCATAGGACTGAGAAGTTCCCAGTGTACTATGACAAGAGTTATCTGGAATCCCTTCATATCTGTGCTTTCTGTATTCTTAATAGACAACCATTTTGGAAAGTATTCTTCCCAAGACCAAAATAATGATGGCCCTACATTCCCTCCCCCTTTTGTGGCATTCATCTTCCAGTTGTAAGATTAAATGCATATATATATTCATGTTAATTTTAACTGTTTATCTGGAAAAGTTGAATGTAGAAATCTTGATACCTTACACACAGTTGTTATGAAAGCATTATTTTATGGTTTTGTTCTCTCACTTTTTAGTCAATGGTTCATTCTGCACAAATAAACTTAGATATTTATTTGGCTTCAATGTATCAATTGTATTGATAATTCTTAACACCAATAGTTTAGATTCACAATAACACAAATGACAAACAGGATGCATAAAGTGGTACATTTTTTTTATTAATTTGTGTCTTACAGAGGAGAAACGTATGTGAGCAGTTTCCCTTAGTTCAAGGAACTCAGATAGGACTTGGGTTTGTATTAGACCTTGTGGCAGGACGAATCAGTGCAAACACATCAAATAATACAGTCTTCAGTATCTGCAGAAAGCAATTTTGCTGCTGGCAATATTAAGGCATTCAAAGAAAATCTACAATAGTGTGTTCTATATAAAACTTGGCACATGTTCAGATGGAGATATATAGTGAAGTTAAATTCAGATGGGAATTGGAAATCTGATTTATCAGAACTCCCAAATTTGTTTAGGAAATTTTATGTTGGTCTTTCCCAACCAAAATTAGTATTTTGTGTCATTTGCTGCAGAAACATGGGCTGAATCTGCTAGTTTGTTGGAAAGATGAGAATTTCATTTATCAGATTTCAGCACCATTTGTTTATAAAAAGAATCAGAAGTATTTTTTGTGTGTGTTGTGCATCTATATAATTTTCAGTTCTGGCTGGCAAGGCCAAACAAATATGTTTGTCTTAATTGTCAGAGAAGAATTAGAAGAATCACTAAAATTCACTAGTGCATTTTATTCATGCAGTAGTAGATATGTGTAAGAAAATACATTTAGGAAAAGTCCCTTCACAGGTATGTTGTTTAACAAACCATATCTCAATACATTACACAGAAGCCATATTGCTTTCCATAATACAGAAATAAGCAGCTGGCATAAATCTACATTCCTTTTCTAATGATGAACCAACACATATACCCCATTTTAAGTCATAGATTGTGCCTAATAGAAGCAGCAGCAATCTCTACTTCTGAATCAGCAATAGTACTGTGCTTCTAGACAATACAGGAGTGTATCCTTTTAGCTTTGTTTTATATAAGGCTAACCTCTAAAACATGCTTCTTTTCATTTTTTAATAGCTGGCACTATTGATTCTAAGCAATAACAAATTTTAAAATTGCTGGCTAGTAATATGGCACAAGGTAAAATGGACAGAGCAGTGACTTGCTAGACAATCACAGAGATGGTCAAGCGTGCATCCAACTAACAGTTAACCAGGATCCTAAGACTCCTAATTATTTGACTACAGCATGTAGATTTTTTTCAGGCTGGGCATGTTGCAAATAGTCATGAGTAACCCTAGATATCAAAAGACTATTATGTGCTTCTTGACAATGTGCTAATTATAGAATTTCCTTATGCAGTGATGCAGCAAGTTCATCTTCCTAAACCTTGTAAGTTAGTATTTTCTACCTAACATTCCTAGATATTTTGTATTTCTTTGTAATGTGCACAGACCACAAAGCAAAACAAATAAAAATATTTATCTTTTCTACCTCTGTGGTCCAGAAGGACTGAAAATGGAATAAAGTCCATTATCGGGACATTAAGTAATTGAATTATCTGTCAGTTACTTTATTTTAAGAGGCAGACAATAAAGATTTCACTAATGTGATTCAATTGCTAGATTTTGCACAGTTTGCTTTTGAAAGTTGTGCTCACCTTTTAGTGAAGACTGGATGGCAAATCCAGAAATAAATCAGAAACATGATTTAATAAGAATGTGCGTTTGTGCATGCTTATTCTCTCTTTAATTTAGCAATTGGGAGACCTGACTGCCTTAAAACCATGCAATTGTTTTAAGGCAGTCAGGTTTCTCAATTGCTACTCCTACTGAAGTAGTCTACTGATGTGAAACATTTGAAAGTTAAGTTGAGCTGGTAAGCACCTTAATTCAGGTATAGGCAATTTAAAGACTTAAGCTATATTATTCCCCCTTGGTATCTGTATTAAGATCAGGGATTACATTTTTTGGTTGACAGTGTTTCCTTCTTCCAAGTTTGTTCGTTCAGTTTTTTTAGTGGAAGTTATGGTTTCCTCAATCATTTCAGCAAAGGTTTCTCCTACCTGGCTCGATGAGATTTTTGAGGCCAATTTAGCCTCCTCTTTCTCATCTTTCTTAAAAGAGAAAGGGGGTGACATTTTGGAGCTACTGGCTACAGATGAACTAAAGAGCCTAGGTTGGAAGGAGTAAGTGGGGTTGGAAAGGGGATTCAGAGATGAGATGCTGATGCTTGAAGTACTAAAACGTGTCTCTTCACCCTCCAACAGCTTCCTGCAAATGCCACAAAAAAGATGTTATTAATAATGGAAATTGAGGATTTTCAACCTTACATAAAGCACATTTACACACGTAGACAAGATAAGCCATGTTTTCTGTGATAAGAAATTACTCTTAATAAAATGATCAAAAGCTAAAAAAGAAAAGAAAGGCATAGAGAATCATCACTTAATGCTGCAGTTCTTTAGTACATAATCTGAATAAAGTAGGAAAAGAGATGTAACCTCAGGTAACTCTGCTAGGCCTTTGTGACCTTTGATGGACATACCTGTGTGGAAAATACCATATATACCACAACAGTCTGAAATTATTACCATCCCCTGATATTCACAACCACCAATATAAAATACTTCCAAAGTAATAGCTGTGTTTGTCAGTTGCAAGGTAAATACATAGCACCTTAAAGGCTAAGAAGTTTATTCATCCTGATTGTGAATGCAAAAATATGGCAAAGTATCCAAGTAAATAGGACCAAGCTATCTTCCACCAAACTACTAGGGCAACATAAATTTGATCACAAATTTTGATTGTTTTTTAAATAGCATTACAGTGCTTGGCATTACAGTTTTCATAGTTGGCATTATAGTTTTAAGTAGATATTGAGATCATGGTTACCTGTATGCTGCTATCTCTATATCCAGGGCCATTTTGACATTCAGTAAATCTTGGTATTCTCTCAGATGCCGAGCCATTTCACTCTTTGTCTCTCTCAGATCAGTTTCTAACTGGCTAATAGTGTCCTGTAAATTCAGACAGTTCAACATTAACATTTTAAGGCCAAAGACTCTGCTGAATAGTTTAATTCCTTTCTATCAGAAGCCAGAAAAATGTTTTGCTCATTTGTTGTAGCACTGCTACACTGGAAGACAAACTAAATTACAATATAATTAACAACTAGGATAGAAATGCCACTTTATTATTTTTTTTAGGCATGAGGCAGCCTGAGTTTCCCAAGTTTTAGAATGCAACTCCCACAGTCTCTCATTACTAGCTAGCTATGTTGGTTGAGGCTGATGGGAACATTCTCTGCAATTGCTTTATTGTTAGAGTAAGGTTGAATAAAAATAGCTCAACATGCAGTGGCCATGTATTTGTCTGTTTCATTCTGGTAATAACATTTTTTTAAAGACTAGATAGAGAATAATAAAACTTGTTTAATTTAATATGTTTCTAGAGAAAACACTGATATAAAACCTATGAAATAACAAGAGTTTTAATTTAATCTACCAATATTGATTTCCAATGTGATTATTATTTTATTTCATGCAATTCCAATTTTTATTTAATGTTTGTGAATTTATCTTTTATTGAGAAAAAATAAGCAGGTGTGCACACAAATTTTATGTAAGTTAGGCAAAGGAGAAAGCATCTATTCTGCAAGCTCTGAACTGGTGGGAAATTGAGACTATGGATGTGTATTAACATTTGATTGATAAGTACAATCTCACACATGTATAGAATGGATTCCTAAAATGCAACATGAATAGGCAAAAGATTATTGGCAGTTTTCAAGATGATCTCTGCACATGTGCTTATATATCCAGTATAGTTCTCCGTAAATTAAGTTTGCATTCAAGCATGAAACCAAGAAAAGAAAACAATGGAACTGTATGGCAGTCAGCGATACTGTACATGAATGTACATATGTAAAAATGTCATGCAGCATGTTCTAGTTCACTATAAAGTATATAAATTTGCATTGTATATATCCCATATAAAAATAGGACATTGTATCTTTATAGTTACCACTTGGTCTTAAGAGGTCTTTTCACAGAACTTTAAGACAATTATACTCACATTGACCACCACTTTGAAATTTCTCTGGATAGGCTCACCTTAAAACACTGAATGACACTGGAGCATCTATCTATCTATCTATCTATCTATCTATCTATCTATCTATCTATCTATCTATCTATCTATCTATCTATCTCAGGTTAGGAAGTTACAATACAGACAGAATACGATGAAACAAACCGACTCCAGGTTGGCAAAAGAGTGTGACAAGGCTGTATATTCTCCCTTACTTACTCAATGTACAGTAAATGCTTAATATGCATTAAGAGAAAGTGGATTAGATGAAGATGAGAGTGGTTTTAAAATTGGAGGAAGAAATACCAATAACCTGTGCTATGCTGATCACACTACTCTGATAGCTGAAAATGCAAGCAATCTGCAAGGTCTAGTATAAAAGTCAAGGAGCACTGTGAAAAAAAAAATGGGACTAAACTAAATATAAAAAGATCAAACTAATGACAGCAGGTACAATGACCAGTCTTAGAACTGAGAATGAAGCTATCAAAGTGGTGCATAGTTTCTGCTGTTTTGGATCAACCATGAACAGTAAAGAAAAAGTCAAGAAATACACTAGGCTACACTTGGTAGTATGGACAAATTTATAAACTATAATGTCACTTTTTTCCCCTAAACTACATAGCAGGAAATATTTTAACCTTTAACCTTTGTTATTAAAAGCAGGTTGCTCCATCTGCTTGATAATTTTGGTTTCCCCTTTTTTCACTTTCTTTATAGCTATATCCTTTTGGGGTATGGTGAACTAAACAATGTACACCATATTCTAAGTATAATCACAATGCAAAATAGTATAAAAGCACTACAATATTGCAGATTTATTACTGTTCCCTAATTATTAAGTTAGGATTTTCCTTTTTCATAGCAGATTTACATTGTTGTTCTCATTGAGCTAACTACCTCAAATCCATTTGTTCAGCTCTGTCAATCTATATGTGAAATTACAATCTTTTATATGTGAATTGCATTTGACAATTTTATGCCCATGCCCCCATTTTGAACCTTCTGGAATGCTTTCTTTAGATTTTTTAAACTTTTATATAATAATTTGGCAATATCAATAAACCTGACCACTTTTCAGAAAGGCACTACCTCTGCATTCAGATTTTTTATGAACATTTGAAAATGCACTGGTCTCATTACAGATCTTTGTAAAGGAGTACTGTTTTTCTTCCTTTGCAAGAAGTTATTTTTTATTCCTATTCCACATTCTCCATTTCTCAAACAGTTAAGCTGACAAGTTGACCTCTATTGTTTAATTATTGCTACACTGTCTTCATCAAGAGTAATATTTATTTATATAATAAATCATAACCTACAATGAATAAATGCTTTATGATGTCCAGAAGGAAACAATATAATGACAGTTCAAATTATCCAGAAGAACTTGCCTCCTCTCTTAACATACTTTTAAAATGTGGGTGGATATGCATCTTCTTAATTTTCTATGCAATTGTCTATCAGTTCTTTATTAGCATAACTCGTAAGTGCTGTGTGTAAACAATGCTAATTCAAAAATCACTGTCAACTGTAGTGTCTATATTTCAAAAAACTTCAAGAAAAGCTCACATTTTCTGATGTGAAAATTAATTGGATTCAGAATGCTGAAATGTATCTGAAAAGCTTCATCACTGTCACCTTTGTATGGAAAATAAGGCAATTTCTCATGTGGAACTCTATTCCATGTAAAGTGATGATTTTATTCAACATGTTTCTGCAGCTTTGGAAGCATATCAAATGCTGATCAGAAATGGACTTTACCATTATGGTACCTCAAGTTTGGGATATTCTTTCAGAGAGGTCCAGCTAATGCAAACATTTTTTTGCCCCAGATGAACACTTTTGAATGAAATGCACATTTTATTTAGATTGTGTCTTTTATTATCCCTATTTTACCCCTACTTTTCTGACTTTACTGTTTACCATTTTTATAATTTTATTAGTTTCATAATAGCTTGTTCTGTACCATATTTAATTTATATAAATATAGTAAAATCTATGCAGAGTTATCAATTGTAAAGAATTAGCCTGGAACTAATCAAGTAATGGTATCTATTTCTCCATGGAAAATTGACTTTTGAGGTAGGTGTGTGCAGTCAGAGAGGTAATGAAAAGAAATATCCTGGAAAATGAATAGCTGATTCGCAGAAACTTTAAACAGGATCACTTAAAAGTAAAACGTTTCACTGCAGGTCCTGCTAGTAAGCAAGCACAACTCCAGAGGTAAAACAATTATCGTATATATTCAGCACCATGGAGAATTACATAGACGTTAAGAGCCGTCGTGGTGCCTAAGAAAGCATTAAAGTGTTCAGAGGAATGAGATACCCACAGTAGACAGAGATCCTGGTGTGATCGTTTACAACAACCATTAAGCCAGCTAGAACGGCCAGTGATTAGCCATCTAAGGGAAGGTATAATGAAAAACATCTGACAGGCGTTAGGAAAGGCAACGGCATACGAGATTCTCGCGTGGAATTTTCCGACCGCACTTAACAGAGGAGCTGTTTTGCTGCACCTCTTTCAATCTATTGGTTTTTTATCTGCTGACAAAAATGCAGTGGTTGTACAAGGGGAGTGGGAGCCTTGAAAAATGTAGCTGGCCCAGATCCGCGTTAGGGGCAGCAAGATGTCACTGTGCGACACGTTGGGAAGCAAGAAAAAGTAGCGCTCGCGCGGGCGGCACTCCGGTCCTCACCTGCAAGCCGAGCGCCTCGACGTTATGCCGCTCCTCCATCTCTTGCAGCTGCCGCTCCAGAGATTCGTTGGCTCCGCGCAGGCTCTCTACCTCTAGAGTGCGGGCTTGCAGCTGGCGGCGGTACTCGCCGATCTCCTCGCGGCTGGCTCGGATGGCCTCGTTGTTGCGCGCCGCCTGCTCGCTGAGGTTGGCGAACTTGGCGCGGTACCACTCCTCGGCCGCCTGCAGGTTCTTGGCGGCCAGCGCCTCGTACTGCGAGCGCAGCTCCTTCAGCGCCGCGGTCAGGTCGGCCTTGGTGGCGTCCGGCTCAATGGCAGCCAGCGGGGCTGGCTGCAGGGAGGCGCTCAGCTCGGCCAGCTCCTCAGCGTGGACCTTACGCAGGAAGGCCAGCTCGTCGAGCAGCGCCTCCACCTTCTTCTCCAGAGCCATGCGCGCCAAGGTGGTGCCATCAACCTCCCGCTGCTGCGCGCGCAACGCCTGCTCTGCCTCTGCCTTGGCTCGCGCCTCCTCCTCACAGTGCGCCCGCAAGCGCTGCATTTCCTCGGCCAGCCGCTCCCTTTCGAGCGCCCCCTGCGCCCGGGCGGCCTCCGTCTCGTCCAGCTGGGCCCTCAGCTCGCGGAGCTCGTTCTGGAAGAGCTCGGCCAGGCCGCTGGGCTCGGCGTGACGCTGCCGCAGCGCGCCCAACTCAGCCTCCAGAAGGCGGTTGTGCTGCTCCAGCTGCCTCACCTTCTCGATGTAGCCGGCGAACCGGTCGTTGAGTCCCTGCAGCTGCTCCTTCTCATTGGTGCGGGTCAGCCGAAATTCGTCGTTCAGCGCCGTTGCCTGGCTGAGATCCAAGGTGTCTGCCTGCGCCAGCCGGTACGACACGGCACGGTTGCTACTGCGAGATACCGATTGAGACCGGTAACTGCTGGCTGTGGCCGAGCTGCCCAGACGGGAGGAGTAGCGGGGAGGCTCCCCGAATATCTTCCTGTAGGAAGAGGCCAAATAGTGGGAATCCGAAGAGAAATTCATCCTGGAGGTTGTGGAGGACTCCCCGCGACGCCCCTGTCTTATATAGAGAGGCGGATCGCCGGTTCCGCTGCAGAAAGGCGGGGGACGTGCGCTTCTAGGGCGCGGCCAAGAGAAGGAGATTGGGATGGGAGGAACGGGCGGGGGCGATACTGAGGTGGCGCCAGGATGTTGGCCGTCAATGACAATCTCGATCCTAAACACGTTTTTCTTTGAATGCACTCTGGGGATGCCAGGGGAAGGTTGTATTAACTCCCTTGGCAGCTTTGGAATGGAGAAAGTGATTTGAAGTGCGAGAGGGAGCAGACGGGGGAATCCTTAAGAATGCAGACCGGTAGTCATCGAGGGACTGCTGGTCTAGGGAGTCAGACATGGGTGTCCTCAGGACACAAAGCCGAAAAAGTATGAGGATTAGCCACTGTTAGGCCGAATCAGTGGCCGAGATTATCTCAAGGCTCTCCATAGAATAAACGAGATCAGCCTAATTGGAGATTAGGGTCTCATTAGATAAAATCCAAGAAGGCAGAAGGGAAAATGACAACTGGAGAATAGAAGGCAGCTGGTATTAAAATCTTAGGGTGCACCATCAGTAGAAAGAATGGGTGGAAGACCGAAAAATGTCTGTGATGTTTATGGCACTACTTTCATGCCCTACCCTTGTGGCATGTATTCCCAGTTGATTTTAACAGGAAGCATGACTAGAAGAAATGCTGGCGGAGCTGTCCATTTTGCCGCAGTGCTGATGTCTTTCCCTCTCAGCTACCCCTGGCGGATGGAAACAGTAGCGCAGCCTGTTTTCGCTTTTATGATCAGAATCCGTAATGACACGCAGAAACAGTTCTTAGAAGTCTGTCGCTATTTTATACTGAATTCCAGCAGCAATATTGGTGTTAGAAGCAAGTGGTTGCTTGAAGTACTAATACTCCAATTCAAAGTGACACATAAAGGCACAGTTTCTTGTGTCTCATATCATCAACAAAGGAAAAACATCTATGCTGCTTTTAATTGACAGATTAATATGACATCTGCTTCATGTAAGTTATCTTTTTAAAATGTTGGTGTTTGAGGAAATATATATATATTTTATACTAATTTTAGCTCTTTTCATTCCTCTATAAAGATTTTCTTAAAATCTCTACACGCCCAATCCATTAGACTAGAATCCAGTTACTGTATCTACAAACTGAGCCTGTTGCCTCTGCACCATGGCCCCTTGATTTCTTTGTCACATCCCTTGCTTCCAGATAGTCATAAAAACTCATTCCATGATTATTTCTTAGATTACTTCTCAGAACCTGGTTGTCTGTTATGTATAACTGTCTTTAAATCTTCCCTTATAAAACTTGATTACTTCATCTAATAAAAGAGGGAGAAGAACAATATTTTGCTAGTTAGACTGTGAGTATACTTACCATTTGGTTGCCTGCCTTCTTACCAGAGGCAGCTACAAACAAATGCCTGCAACTTACAGAATTCTGTTTTCCTTGTAGATCAGATGAGTAATCTCTGAGCTGTATACGGCCTCCAGCATTCCATTTACAGTAACCCACCTTCCCAGAACTGGTAGGATGGAAAATTTCAGGGTCTTTTTTTCATTCTGGAGAGGATTTGAGGCAGAATGGATGCCCCCTTATGATTCTGCCTCTTCCCTTAAGACATTTCAAAACTAGAAAATGACCAAAAATTTCAGCCCCACCCACTCCATTGATGTCACTACACCATTAGTTCATGAGGGCCCCAACCAGGGCACAAACAGAAAGTTTGCTCTCAAGATGAAAGAGATTGTCCAGCCCTGTCCTAAATGCCTTAGTTGAGCAAGAATTTCCTTAGATATTTCAAAGGCAGTTTGACATAGAATAGGTGGCGCTAATCTAAATTCACTGAGGCATAAACCACTATGTCTAGATCCAATTGCTCCAGGAAGAAATTTTTGCTACTGAGGCAAAAGCCAACACTGAACAGTGATGCCTCTTGATTTTCCATAAGCTGTGCCAAGTCCAAAACCATTACCAAACTGTAAGGCTGGAATTGTTCACAAAGTATACTAAGCTATGCTTTCCTTTGTCACAATTTATTAAATAAACCAGAACAAGTCTGTTAACACACTATATTACACTGTGGTTTACAAACTACAATGGCTGTGTTCACACAATATATTAAGACAAAAACAAAAAAATTATATTATGGCTTAGTATGTCTGAACCCAGTTTGAGACCAGAATGAAGAGCAGCCTCATCCAGAACAGATTCTATATTCCAAATGTCCAGTTCTCTCTCCTATTATCAGGATTAAATCTCAATTTATTAACCACATCCAATCCGTTAACCACATCCAATCCATTTAATTCAGGACTTCAAAAAATTCCCTAGTTGACCCCCCAAAAATTAGCTCATTGTTGTAAGCATAAAAACATTTTTACTTTTTTATTGCCTTGGATTTTAATTGTAAGCTGCCCAGAGTCACACTCTGGGGGAGATGGATGGCATATAACTTAAATAAATAAATAAACAAACAAATAAATAAATAAAGTAAGGGTCCAACCTTAAAACTCCATTTGCTGTCCAGAAGCTTCCTGTCAATAGTAGATAAAACACCACAGAATGTGGCCAAGATGCTGAATAATAATCCTCAGAACAGATAAAATCAAACCACAGGAAAACAATGTCCTCAAGTACCATATTGGTCAAATATTTCAGTGGAATGGCCAGCGGTATCAAATACTAAATGATTCAACAGAACTAACAGGAAGACTCTCCCTGACTAGTTCCTGGCATCATGGTGACTATGATGCCAAAAATTGGGCTGTAAATAAATAGAAAAGGAACCAAATAATTATCTTCTTCTCAATAAAAACTAGTGTGGAGTTTCTACTACTTGTACTACTTTCTATTACTTGACATTGATCAAAAGTGGAATATTGGAATCTCTTAGAATGTGGCAGCAAATCTCTCCTGGCAGAATTGGATATAAAAGCATGGAACTTCTTTCTGAAAAATTAACCCACAATATTAGAATATCCATATATATGGAACACAAAGATAAGTTTGTATGTATGGGTTTTTAAAAGTTTTTTTTACATTTACTGTATACCTGTAGGTCCTCTACACAGTAAAAGTAACGCTCTCTGGGTTCCAAAGCAACAGGACTCCTCAGTGATGAGAAGGTTCAAGCAGTGAACCTCCCCAGCTGTAGAACAAAGAAGGAGCGGAGGAGGGTCACACATAGGAGCTGCTTCTCTGTAGCACTGAACCTCACAAGCAGCAAAACAGAAAGAGTGGCCAGCAGAAAGCAGTAAAGATGCCACCAGGATGTCCAATGACTCTAGTTCCACTGCATGGTCCAGTGCTTTCAGGTATTCCACTGTAGCAAAGGTCACTCCATTTTCTTTCTTTCTTTCTTTCTTTCTTTCTTTCTTTCTTTCTTTCTTTCTTTCTTTCTTTCTTTCTTTCTTTCTTTCTTTCTTTTCCTCACTTCTTTTTTCCTGCTCACTGTTCTCAACTAGAATACCTATTGGGGCCCCAGTGATGTGACCAGCTCTGTTGAAGGTATAGGGAAGAAGCAGGCCAAGAAGAAACCCAAGGTTTTCTGTACCTGTGGGCCTTGAGGAGAGTGACTCCCCCACCTCCCTTGTTTATATGCCTCTGGCAACAATCAGCTGTCATCCTGGAAGACAGTCTTTTAAAGGGACATACTATTTTCAGAGCATATCACCAAGCTTCCTTGTTTATTACTGTTCTCTTTTTAATGTTTACGTTATGGATTTTATGTTTTGATTTCAAGTGGTTTGACTTCAAATTTCATTTCAAGAAACCTTAAAATAAACAATGTGATCCATTCTTTTCCTTTACAGTATTCCTTCCAAAACTGGAGTTGCCACAGCTTCCTTTAAAGGAATTCTAACAACAGTTACCAAAGCAAGCAACAAGAAAGACAACCTCCCTCACCCACCCATTCTTTTTACATTGAACAAGTATGAGAAAACCAGAGTGTTGCTGTCTTAGCCTATATATAGTTAGAATTCTTATGTTGTATCTTTAACTTTCCTTCAAATAAATATTACAAATAAGAACTCTGAGGAACCTGTTTTTAGAATAACTGTTTTCAGTCTTGATTGTTTGGAGAAAAGTCTGAGAATTTGCTGTTTTCACCATCCAACAAGCTGGGCTCCCTCTTAAGCTCTTAACCAGTTTGGATAAATTTGCTTTACTTCTCCAAGTAGTGCTTTCCAAGTAAACCGTTCTTCAAATAATTTCTAAAATAAAATGAGGCTAATCCATAAAAACCAAGCAAGTAGTTACCTCATTTACAACCCTTGAACCTGCTTTCCATCTAAAGTGCAAGTGAATATGGATGTCAGCAACTTTACAGAGTACTGTTCTGAAGACTCATTGTAACAGGCTGACAGAATGTTTGTTCAATATAGCCAAGAAACGGGCTCACCCACATAACCAGAGCCTCAGGCTCAATGGCAAAACCAGGTCTTCAAGGCCTTGTGAAAAGCAGCAGGGTGGAGGATGAATCTGATCTCCAGGAGAGGGTGATGTTTCAAAGAGTGGTCCCAATGACAGAAAAGGCTCTCCCCCTGGGTCTCACCAGATAACACTCCCTTGTGGATAGGACAGCAGGCCTCTCCTGCCAGATTTAACCAGACAGGTAGATATCACCGGGGAGAGATGATCCCATAAGTAACCCGGCCCCAAGCCATGAAGGGCTTTAAAGGTAACCCAGAATTGAATTGTACCCAGAAACATACTAGTAGCCAATGCAACTTGTGGAGCAGCGGTGTCACATGTGCCGAACAACAGGCACCCATAACTGCCCACACTGCTACATTTTGCACCAGGCGAAGCTTCCAAATAGAGAAGGATACAGAAACTTTTTTTTAGACTGTATATGCTAGTAAAGCCAGAACTGATTTTAAAGTGCAAGGACTTAGGTTGTAGATGAATTTTGCCAGCTGCATTAAAAGATAACATAAAACACGCTCTTCATAAACCTGCAGT